ACCGTATTTACTCCCTTGAACTGAAAATGAAAATGCTAAGCATATGGAGAAAGAGATCTGACGACAGTCAGGGTGTTGCAATAAATCTGTATATATAATTTTTTGCTTCCCTTTATATTGATTGAATTTACAAATATACAGTAAACTTTCAGGAATGGAGGCCGCGGTCATACAAAGGCTGTCTGAGGAAATAAAGAAATGAGGGAGATGGATACTGTTGGAGTGGTTCGAACCCGGGACTTCGGGGTTACTATTTTGGTCATCCTATAGCCACTTGACCAGCACTGCTCATGGCAATTAGAATGACGAATCCCATGCAGTCCCAATATGATAAATGTGCCACAGAGTGCGGCGAAATCAAAGCTGTCTATTCTCAAAGCTGGATGTACGTGGCAGAGTTTTCACCTCGAACACAGGTGAACGGAGCACACCGGTGGCAGTGGCTCAACCATCCTCATCTACACACGGACTCATAGCAGAGCTGCTGATTCGTAGTCAACCATTCAACTTTTTTATCAGCATAGATGAGTGGCTTCCCTATCAGAACGATCATCATTTCTAATGGTACAACAAATGGACTATCGGTTGATTTGTTATACATCGAGTGTTCAGACTTACCACCAGTCATTGGTTCATTCCAGTCTGAATCAAATGAATTGGCCGAATCGTTACTGTCCCAAAATCCTCCACCTCCTCCTCCTCCTCGATAGTTCGTAGAAGCTGGATTTGGTTCCGAACCTTGTGAAGTGTTCAGATGGGAGCCTAGAACGAATCGATCATCACTACGACGATGCCGACTGCCGACACTGGAACCGGTGCTTCCTGAACTCTGTTTGCGTCGATTCAACACGTGTGTTTTCAAGCGTTGCTTGACCTGTGTGTGTGTGTGTGTGTGTTGGGAACACGCAATGGAAAGGATCACACTGTGGTTAATTTGGATAGACATGTATGGTTAACCTCCCTTCGAAAACTCAAAAAGTCAAAACATCCCAATGGAGATGAAAGAAGATGATTATGAATCAGTAAGTTCAATAATTGGATTGATGGGGTCCTTATTTAGTCGGGTAGCCGGGAAATAAACATCTAGAAATAATTCCAGTGAGGTGCAACGTGAAAGGAGACTGGAAATTAGGTGAATTGGTCACAGTTTTTCTGAGAGACCATATAAAGCAGATCGATTACAAATGAAGCCACCAGAACACTGAGTCGAAATTGAACTCTTCATACTTGTGGCTTCACTCCATGTCAATAAACTGCAACATAAAATCCTGTGAAAAAAATATCCGTACAAATTCCTTTGGTTGTTGATCGAACATGAGTGAACCAAAATCTGTGCGGTGAATGTTTGGATAAACCAAAAATAGTCACATTGTTACTCTAATCAGCAAATTAGTATTCACACCAATCGCAAAATTATTCACCTTCCAAATCGCAGCCGGTTAGGTTATCTTTTACCTAAAACTGCCAAATTTTCGAGTATTTTTAAATTTACCTTTTAAGGAAAACACAGTTTGACGAACAAGCTCCTTTTCAGTGACTCATCAACTGGTTAATACGTTATCACATTTTATATAACATTGTTTTTTGTATAGAAAAAAGGAAGCACCGAAAAGGAATGGAGCGTTTTATGTTTTTGTTCCTTTTCTCAATTTCATAAACAGGATATTGTTGATCTACCTATCGGTCAGTGTTAGATCTGTGATTTGGAGTGGGAGGGGGAGTTGTTATACCTGAAATCGTCGATCGCCAGCTACCGAACGCTAATGCTGTGCTTCAATCCAGCTTTGAGGAATAGACGACTTTTGTGGTTACGTGCTGGTTACATGCTCCGTTGTGTTCGAACCCATTTTGCATCAGTAAACAGGCTTCCGCTACGTGGTCTAGTCTGTGAACGTCCCGTTTTGTGCCTTCGTCCATCATCAGTGTGCGTGGCACGGGCAGTGTTCTGTGTTGTGTCAACTTGCGTTCGACGCTCGCTGTGTCCCACGTCCCACAACAATATTTTACCTTTGAGTTATTGTTGTTGCATGCTTTGTAAGTGATACCGTCCGAAGTAACACAGTGAAGAGATGTATCCCACACATTTGGGCTCTAAAGGCTCACAAATCCGGTGTCTCGGGTCCTGCCTGACCTGTGCAAGTGCTTCGATGTAAACATTGCCGCAAATTCATCGCATAAACAAGAGAATTCCCCCCTCCCCCCCAGCAATGTGAAATGGGAACAACCGATCACCTCGAGGCGAGATGATGATTACATTTGAGTGTTAAGGGGTACATCAGCAACCAGCCAATATGCACGATACTTTGGGCGGACAAACCAATTTTCTTATGCTACCATTGAGGAATTGATTGGTAAATTCCAACTGCACTGAATTCCGCTGATACAAAGCTGATGAAGAACACTGGACAAGTGAAGGCACGTTTGATTTTACCAACAAATTAAAATCGTACCGAACGTCCTTTTGGCATTACCTCACTGAAACGACACCAGGCTGCGAAAGGTGATCTGTTGGGATAGTTTACTAAATCAGTTTAGTTCATCGGTCCCAAATAGTAAACATTCGTCCTGTTTGATGAGTTGGGTGCGAATTAGATACTGAGGGCCCTATTGGTGGACTCCTGCATGTGCCTCTTTGGATAGTGTTGAATAAGGACTAATACTTTCGAAACGCAATCGCAAATAGTCACATTTACCCCAGATACATCTCATGGGACATGTGTTGCACATGCCACCCAAATACGCTGACAAGGCACGTGATGTTTGTGGAGGCATGCAGCGGATGGATAAAAGGTCAAGACCTGGTACGAGGGTATGAAAACCCTAACCAGGAGGCTGGGTTACGTAGGCCCCGTTAGGCTCCTTGGCTGGGGACCCCGAGGTCATGGTCAATGGGGGTTAGAGACACTGAGTGATTTGATTGGATGTCGCAAACGGTGGCGCTCGTGCATCTAGTCAGTATTCTTGCAACCCCAGTCTATAGGAATTCGCTATATTTTCTTTCACTCTGCTCCAACATTGTAATCTGCATTCTACTGTTTTGCCAAAGGGCAGCCAAAAGACAGCAACGAAAACGGGCGTATGAAAATGCATGGGTAACGGTTGTAAAAACTGCAACTGCAATCGAGATAAATCTCAATTTCATATCTCCCAGATGAGGTTTGTAAGAGAATTTTTTTGACTTCGTCATGTAGTATTATTTTCTCCCATTTGCACAGCTTCCAGAGTCGAACGCACTCAGTTACCTCCCGGCAATCCGAAAGTAATCGAAAACTAATCCCCTGTGTTGAAGACAGCGAAGTGAGCTACCACAAGTGGTCGTTAGACAAATGCGATTTGATTGTCAACCTGGTGGACTGTATACCAAAACCAGACTGAGTCAAAAGAACAAAGGACAGCATAATGGTTACTGGCAAAAATGAAAGTGTAATAAATGTGCCATGGATGTGACCCACTTTTATAAATAAATTTTAATAATTTTTCTCTACTGGGGTTTCGGTATTTTAAAGCTGGTGCGCTTCCAGCCGTCGCCGAAATTGGGTAATCATGCTTTTATGAGACGTAAAGCTGACAGAGAACACTGAACAGCCGTCTCGTCTTTACTGAAATCCATCCGTGGGTGTACTTGCTGTGCCCACTGGAACCGCAAAACCTCAGCTTGGGGGAACTAAACCCTCGGAAAGAATAACAATCATTATAGAGATCTTGTTTTCCTATCGTTTGTATGAAGTCAATACAAAGGTATTCAATTAACTAGTGACCATAGATAGAATGTGGATACCAGCGAAATCTGTGCTCTCCTCATCCCCAGATAGACGGCATGGAAATTGCTTGAAAACACGGAAATAGTAAATTTCACTCTAAATGCACGTGGATCTTCATCATTCAAAACCCCTAAAGTCTCGAATAGAAAGAAGACCAACACTAAACACATTCAAATCCCTCATGTTTTGTGTCATCCGGAATAAAGTAAAGTAAAGAGGCAAATCATGCGAGACCGAACGCTGACAGTAAATAACCGAAAAAGATCGTAAATGGAGTTGCTGGACAAATAAAATAAATGGAGTAAACCTACGGTGTTGTAGGACTATTAGTCACTACATATCAACGCACATCACAAGAGATACGGTACGAATCGATCTGTTATCAAGGCTGTGTTCGGATTATCAGTTATAGTAACTGTGTATTCCGTGTGGTTGCGTTTTATTGCGAAATTATCTCCTAATAACTATAAACAGAACAGTACTCATTAATTCCACATTCCATTTGAACAAAAATAAGAGCATATATATATATATATATATATGCGGAGGGAGATCATAAAGGTCATCTACGTGCATCGGTATTTGTTTGTGGGTAGAGTGAGATACAAAACATCACGATATCGGTCTTGTTAGTTTGCTTTTGGCTGGAGAACAGTAAACGACAACGCTCATCAGGCCGCGAAAAGACAGCCGTTACTGCTACCTGACATATCTCGGGTGAGCTGCGAAACGAAATCAGTTCTAACTTACCAGCGACATGTTGGCTGAAAAAGGCCAAGGATGTGTGCCTAATGAGATGAGTAAATAACACTACATAAATTCGCACAAAACTTCCCGTGTGAACCAATGCTTGCTGGTACTCAATCGAAGACCGACGGAAGATTTCTGTGTTAGGGAACTACTAAAGATTTTTAGGAATTAAAGCATATAGACCACATGTTGGTTGAAGGGCATTAAAGCTATTATTCAAGCTGTTGATCTTACGGATCTGATGCGTGGTTCCCGTAGGACCTACAAGATTCGCATGGCGCAGTTATTCATGAGCAGATCAAATGAACCTTGGATCTGTTTGTCGAAGATCAGTACACTGCGCGTGAAATTCGTTTACGCAAGAATGATGGCTCAATGGTCCTCCTTCATCCGACCATAGTTCTGTTCACCGTGAGATCTGATCGCGTAACAAATCGCCTCATCGGAAATTTCAAGGAAAACATCAGATTACTGCACCAATTTCATGGCCGGTAGTAGCTGGAGGGACCACAATGGGCCAGTTATGGTTTGAGGGCGTGTAAGTAAACGTTTCGAATTCAACATCACCTTTACAAAATCAAACGCGTTTTACCAGTCTTGTAACAATACCTCTTTGATTCCGTCTTTTAGTAACTAGTTTATGGTTTAAGGTCACGCGAAGTGTCTTCCAGTACGATGATTTTGACCAATCAGACGGAGTGAAATATTACATTTCACACACGACACGATAATCTTTATTTTAAAAACAGTTCCATTCTTTTTATATGGGCGGAACACTGCCAGGCTGTTCAGGCCTAGACGGTAAGTGGTAGCTTAGTTGGTTATCATGAGCATTGTATCCATGATCTGTTGGAAGATATCCGGAGCGGAATAGACACCCAACAGAAGGTGGATAGAGTAAAACAACCCACAATGTGTTATTCACCAAAAGCTTTCATGAGGTATTCGATACCTCGATCTGTTAGCATGAACCTGACAGGTTCACGTCATTTAGTTTCACAAATAGGTTCTCAAGTATTAACAGTATTATGCAAAACAAACGCTGCAACCTATCATTTCCTAGAGGTGTTATTCGTGTTGGTACCTTATACGCTATACAGAAAGAGTTTTAGTTTGTACAACCACTAACTATATTCGTGCGCCGGTTTTGGTTGCTGTCTTTTGACTGCCCATTGGGATGAAGAATAGGAGAAGAAAGGAAAGTTGAAAGTGGAGTCGAACAGAAAGAGAAGTTCAGTGGTCTAAGGTTGGAAAGAAATTGAGAAGGTGCACGAACGCCACTGTTTACGACACCCAGCCATATCAATCAGTGTCTCTAACCATCGGTTACGATCAACCCGAGGTCCACAGCCAGGGAGCCTAACAAGACCTATGTGACCCAGTTTCCTGGTTAGGGTTTTCAGACCTTCATGCCAGGTCTTAGCTTGACCGCCCTTTGTTTTTTCCAATCGCTACCAGCCTTGGCAAACATCGTTTGCCGTGGCAACCTATCTGGTGACATGCGCAACATGTCCCAACCAACGTAATCTATGGAGATCGACCACTTGCTCCAGTGGGCGACCGTATTTGCCCAAAACTCTGCCCCTAACCTCAAAATTGCTCATCCGGCTACCCCACCAGATTCGTGCAATGCTGCGTAGACAGCGGTGTTCAAACACTGACAGTCTATCTTGTTTTCTTAATGGCCAAGTTTCTGCACCGTATAGCAGAACAGAAAGAGTAGACCCACGAAGAAAGCGTAAAATTTGAACCAATCAACGCATTTGAAAACTGTATTGCGAAAATAATGACTTTATACTGATATATTTATCCAAATATTATTGTAGCATTGAAGCGCGACGCCGTTGGATGTAAAAACTGAAATGAACTGAGATGGTACACGTACTTGAGTTGATGATAGACGACCTTCACCGCCATGATCAAATGATGGTTGACGCGCGAGTGTTGCGTTTCGAAATGGTGTCCCCGTGGAAAATAGACTGGGCGAACTTGACGCTCCGGTAGTAGGCATGACAGAGCCACCGGCCGGGACTGACACGGTAGTCTGGCTCATGGGAGTAGTCGAATCGGGATTGGAATCAGGTGAGTCAGTGGAGAAATTGGAATTCATCACGTTGGCGGAGGGTGTTGTGTACGAGCCGACTCAAAACGGACAAAACACGTCGAACATGCTAAAACAAATTGGGTAAGGCATTTTTTACATAATGTGAGGGGTTATCTATCACATACAGAGGAAAAATCGGATCGAATTAATTATTTGCATTATTTCTGCCTGTTCTGATGTCAAACAAATCCTGATACGGAAACCTGCAGTACAAAGAAATCGGTGCAGTGCTTGATCTTGAGCTCGAGTCAAAGCAGGTGACGTTTCGCCAGCTGATGCTTAGCCTGCACGGTAGCGAAGCTGTACGGGACATCGATATACGATTGACCGAACCTTAAGTTTTTTTTATTTATCATCGAAATGTCACGGAGGAGGCCGCAGATAGCAAGGGAATTTAAGGGAACATAAAATAATGTCGGTGCTCATCCCTTATGGTGATCAACTGGAAGTGGGCTAGAAGTTTAAGCACTTGGAAAGCACGATGGCAGTTAGAGATGATATTAAAGGAGGGGATGCGAATAGCAGAAGCTAGACTGAGTTTGCAAACCTGCCACCCCGACATCCAACTTTCAACATAGGGAAGTGCACACAGTTGTAGTTTTTCATGTATGAGGTCATTGCAATGCATATATATATATATATAGTCTATCTGTATCCTCTTTTCTTAATGGTCAAGTTTCTGCGCCGCATAGCGGCACTGACCGAACTGTTGCAGCATAAACTCGACTCATCATGGACAGCCAGATATCGCGACGGCGCCATAGATGTCTCAAGTTGGCCAATGCCAATTGAGCCTTCGATATGCGAACTGACACCTCATTCGTGATGCGTCCACCGGGTGAGATATAGCTGCCCAAATACCAAAACTTGTCCACTTGCTCCATTACTTCCCCAGTTAGAGTGAGACTGAGTGCTCAACCGACCCGGTCTTGTAGTAACATTTTACACTTTGAAGGTGCAAAACGCAAAACAAACATGGCTCAGTTGGCACTCAAGCGATCCAGAGAAGCTTGCAACTCACCTGGGTCTTCAATTATCAGTAAAATATCGACTGTTTACTTCAGATCAGACACTGTGCCATCTGGGAATGAATCGATGCTACTATCCTCGCACGAGGATAAGGCTGCTTCCGCAAATGAACCAATAACAAACTTAAACAGAAAAGGAGGGAGGGAGAGAGAGAGGGAGAAGGTAACGAAAACGAAAACCACTTTCTGTGATGAGCTCAGATGAAAAAGTACCGCAAGCTCGGACTCGGCTTTGGTTATTATTGTAGAGGGATTGTAATATTGAAATGAACTTCTCGGGCACATCCTTAGGGGAAAGGCAGAGCCAGAGTTTAGAGCGGTCGACTGAGTCGAAAGCCGCTTTCAGACCGAGGAAGATAGAAATAGTGGGTATATGAAAGGAGTGTCTGTGTTTGAATTTGACGAAGAGTGAAGATGTGGTCAACAGAACCTCGAGCAGATCTAAAACCAACCCGGTTCTCACGTGTACACTCTTCATGTGCGATATACAATCAACGGAGTATGATCCTAGCGAGAAGTTCGGAGGTAATGTTGATCAAGCTAATTCCTCTGTGATTTTCACTAGGGGATCTGACACCCTTTTTATAAATCGGTAAGATGACAGATTAGCACTATTCAGTTGGAACTTGCTCTCTCTCTCTCATAACGACCCCAGGACTTTCGTCGACTCCAAGACTAACACTGAGCCTCTATCATTAGACGCCAATGGGAATAGTCCATCTGGGCCGGAGGCCCTAAGCCTTCTGAGGTAACTTATTTCTCGGGAAACCTCCATTTCAGATAGAGGACTGGCATCAACTGGGAGTATATGACCAGTCGATTGGTGATTGGTCAGATGTTGATGGGAGCCAGTTGAACTGAGCCTCCAAATACTCAGCCCATCGATCAAGACGGCGTTGCTGATAGTGAATCAGTGTGTTATCGAATTCCTTATTTGGTGTTAGCGTTGCAGAGGTTTAGTCGCTGTCACCGGCGTGCCTTGGACCCTATAGTCCGAGGTTTGAGCCCCGCCATCGCCACCGAACTTTGGTGGTAGGCAGCTGTGCTGTCGTCCGGTTAAATACCCTGCCCAACTTATCGGGGCTTTATGTGATTCACCATTCCAAGACCAGGGACTTAGGTTACCGGTTTCCATCACTTAACAGTGGATCCTTGTGACTATGGGGTTTACCCCGTCTGCTGTTCACCACACAAAAGTGTAATAAAAAATATCTCACTTATTTTCCTGGGGTCCATATTTTTAATTAGATGGAAAAGATTGCAACTATTACCCATAGCTGCAGCTTTCTCCGTCTCTTTAAACTTTTCTACCCACCACTTCTCGCGGTCACTCCTAAGATTTTTGATGAGCAGGCGTTTAAGGGATTTGCTGTGTCATATGTGGTGTAACGAGGAAGGATCTGCAAAAGTTCAGTAGGGTAGCCGAGGTCGACGAGATCCATCATTTGTGTTTTAAGCCTGCGCCAGATTCCGCTGTTGTTTTTATCAATATCTGCATAGCTTGGTTGACTGGCTTCCTGTGTTCATTGAGTCCTTCCGCCGGTAGTTGAACGGGTGGGTGATCGGATAGNGGATAGCTCCGTTTCAAAGTATGATTTGCAACTATCGCTGATATTGTATCGCGGGTATTCAGTATCGGTGGATTGATTGTGATTGTTTACCAGATGTAAGGAGAATTCGGCTCGTAGCAAAGCGTGCTGCATATAAACACGTGTTGACCAGTGAGAGGGGCAGTATTGAATCGATCCTCTCCAGTGGTAACTGACTGCGATGTCGTTAAGTTGGGTTCAGCGCTGTGACGAGGTTGACGGTTTTAAAGTAGGGCGGTGTCCATCCCTCTGCGAGAAGTTGATGCTTGATAGGAATGATCCATGGTCAGCACAGAGTTGGTTAGATACACTGAGTGATATCGCTGAGTGTCGTAAACAGTGGCGCTCGTGCATCTCCTCAATTTGTATGCAACCCTAGACCACTGAAATTCTCCATTTTCTGTTCGATTCCACTTTCAACCTTCCCGTCTTTCTCCTATTCCTTATCCAAATGGGCAGCCAAAAAACAGCAACCAAAACCGCCGCACGAAGGCGCATGGTCAATGGTTGTACAAACTGAAGTGAACTGAACTGCAGAGTTGAAGTACGCGATTTCCGTTGTCTGTCTGGTTGGCTGGAATTGCATTTGGTGACCAAGACACCATTTTGATTCGTCCAGGGCTCCCACTTGAACACTAAAGTCTCCGGTGACTATTGCGACGTCCGTTGATTGCGCATTTTGGAGTAGTTCAGAAGGATTCTCGTAGAATTCATCCTTGGATCCAGGTGTACTACAATCGGTCGGTGCATACACCGATACGACGAATAAGCATCGACGCTTCCTTCTGTAGCTGTTGACCCATGCTGAACTGTTGAGACGTAGAATACACAGTAGGCTAGTCAAGAAGCGAGTGCTCAGTCTTGGCAACACCAGAGCTTCGGATGCCGAATTTCCTAAAACACGGAGAGTGGACCGTGAGGATGAGGTTGGGTCAGGAGAAAGCACGGAGATGCGTGTGTCGGAGACACAGCACATATCTAAATGAAACGTTTCAATGGTTTTAGGTAGGGCAACTTGTTGACCGATCTGGTATTGTGCAGACGCTGAACGCGCTGAGTGAAAAATTATCTGCTTAAAAAATCCAATAACTTCTGACTGTTTTACCTTACAGGTTAAGCGCTGAGTGATATTCGATGGGTGGCGTAAACAAGAGGCATATGGAATTATTTGGCATGGAAAGAACTAGACAGATGGTCAAGAGAATTATCTCTATCACGACGAGACTGCCACTTGACGTGGTGTGATAGCTTGCGCATCGCTCTGACCCAACGAGCTACACAGGATGGCTTTTGTCAAGTCAAAGATCTAATCACGCCTAGAACGTCAAAGAGAAATGTCGGACGAAGTCCAGTCTCCTGGTCCTCCAGGTTGCGTATTCGACTACAATTTGCGTTTCAGTCGGTAAAAAATGGTGGAGTAATCGGTCCAGGTAGATGGACCTCTACTTCACTTCACTCGCTACCGTGCGGTCAGGTTCTTGTTAGAATTAAAGGCTTTGGTTGAGAACCCCAATTGATCTCCTGCTTAGTGGCTGGATACCCCAGCACTATCCGTCCATCAAATCCCAATGCAGACACCAACTAAAAATAATTCCATATTGCATCGGTCGTCGCGCAGGATAATCAAGACCACGTTGATTATTGTATCGAGCGAGATGGATAGAGATCAGTGGGCTACTTTTTTACTACACACTTTCGTGATGAACAGCAGACGAGTTAAACCTCAAAGTCACAAGGACCATAGGGTCCAAAGCACGCCGGTGACAGCAACTAAAGCACTGTGCGACCACTACCCTGCTCAGATATCCTAAACTTTTTTTAAGCCTTTGTCTTCCCAATCCAGCCCTCTCGATTTTCCCATCCTTCCGACCTGTAATAGTCCCTCAAGCAACTTGGATGTCCCTCGCCAAAAGTCGTTGCCAAATAGCACTGTAAGTTACCACGAAATGGATTGCAGATTCTAAAGCCTCATCAATCTTTGAATCCGGGGCCTTTAGCGTGAGGACTCTGGTGAAGGTATGTCAACAAGCGCGCACAATGGAATCTTTACAAATCAATACTTGCTGTGTGTCTGAGACTCGAAATCAAGATCCTACTACCATAAGTCACGCCAGATTTGTCCTCGAGGTACGTGCTTTGCACGTCAATCGACGAAGAAAACCGTCCAGTAGGTCAGCGCGGGGTAGGTATTGAACTCAGTGACAGAGTGGAGCCCTCGCTTATTGATTGTATCCCCGTCGACAGTCGTTTATTTGCAGTGCTTCCGGAAGGAAAGCAACGCCAAAAGGTGTTTGTTCATCATTTCAGCACATGCATCGACCAACTACAGTTTTGCAACACAAACGGACGAGTTTTATGACAAACTCACCGAAGTCATTCGGTTCAATCG